TTAATGTCTTACTTTTTTACTTTTTAACATTCATAGGCTGATATGCAAATATAACACAATACAAAAACACTGTTTAAAATATACTGTTTTTTTCTCCTGTCAATATCTTGAATAACTGTACCATATTTTTGCTACTGAATCTCATATTTTGCTTTAACCAACCTTTTTAAAAAAAAAAAAAAAAAAAAATTGTACAACGTCTGGATCCTGTTAACTGACTCTGGTAGTCTGCTCTTCTATTTATCATTGTACTCTTTTCATTCAAGTTCAGCTTTCTTCATCTTCAAACTGTGTTTGAGTATTTTAGTTTTAAAAAAATAAACTCACGGGCTGTTGGAATATTTCTGCGCACAAGAGGTCCCTGAATCACTTCGCTGTTGTCTTTGTTGACAGCAATGAAGGCAGTGAACAAACTGCTCACTCCTGATTGGACACTGAGCTGCACCACCTTCTCCTTCACTCCTCCATCTTGCTGTCCTCTGTGCTCTCTCTCCTCCATCTCCAGGGAGCAAATGAGAGTCTGAGCACCCAACCTGTGGACTGTTAATCTGCAGGCAAGAAGGAAAACATTACAGAATCATATGTCATATGTGATATTGCCAATAGCTAATTATGCTTAATACTGATCGAATATAATCAGGTATATTAAATAAGTATGTTTATGTTTATTATGTCAAAAGACCCCTCTGAGTGAAAAAAATTAGGGAACAGTTAACGCTGCCTGGGCTAGGGTTACTGGGCCCCCACCTGTTCTAGCAGGAAGGGGTCATCCCTGACTGCAAACCAGTGCACAAAGCAAGATACATGAGCAAGTTTGATGAGGAAGAACTGGTCTGGCCGGCACAGAGTCCTCAACTCAACCTGATCAATGACCAACCTCACAAATGTCCTTTTAAAAGAATGATCAAAACAACCCAAATTATCTGTGTATCTGAGCCTCACTCTCAGTCTAACTTTGCTTTTCTTTTGTGGGAATGGAGTCTCTGCCTTTGAGTCTGACAAGTAACTGCAGCTAAAAAGTTAACACTGTCACTTCATTTGATCATGACAAGTGTAGAAAAGCTCAGACTGCAGCGTAGAAATTGCTGAAAGGGAGGAAAGCTACAATAAGCTGGAAGTGAGTCAAACATTGATTGGTAGATTGTTAACAATATTGTATGCAGTTGTTCAGGACCACTGAGTCACAGGTTAAAGTCTACTCATTGTGAAAGAATTTGTGCAAGAACACAAAACTTTGCACAGGTGTTATGAGAAGTTTACATACACTCATCATGGGCATGAATTTGATGGTATTTCTGGGCTTTTAATGGTTTCTTTGGATTCTTGTTGTTCCAGGGTGGAATGATCCAAATTAGCTGGCTTATTCACATAGACTGTAATGCTTCTAATGTACAAAGAAATTATGTCATTCAGTTGTGTTGTGCATATTTTATATTATAGTTACACTGTGTACACGGTTAGGCACTTTATTGATATAAGGGCCATGTCCAGCACTCCTTCAAAGGCAGATATAGGTAAACAGCACTAAAAAGCTTTACTATTCAAAAGGTGATTAGCGTCAATTTCTGAATATTTATTTTTTAATTTCACAATATGACAAAATAAAGGATGCTAAATACTTTAACATGATATTCTTAATAACAAAATTGAAAGAAAATTGGATTTTGTTATTATTTTCCTTGAGTATTTCTTCTTCAGTCACCTTTCTCACTCACTATGTGTTAACAGACCTCTCTGGACAGAATCATACTTGTTATTAACCTCTGTCTCTCTTCCGCAGCATGTCTTTATCCTGTCTTCCTCCTCTCACCCCAACTGGTTAGTGCAGATGGCCCCGCCCCTCCCTGAGCCTGGTTCTGCTGGAGGTTTCTTCCTGTTAAAAAGGAGTTTTTCTTTCCTACTGTGGCCAAAGTGCTTGCTCATAGGCGGTCATATGAGTGTTAGGTTTTTCTCTGTATGTATTACTGTAGAGTCTACCTTACAATATAAAGTGCCTTGAGGCAATGGTTGTTGTGATTTGGGGCTGTATCAACAAAACTGAATTGAATTGAAGAAAATGGTATTTCCTTTCAAATTTCATGTGGCATTGAGAAAACATGACAAGGCATGCCACAAAAATAATCAGTAGGTTGTCTCTTCAAAATACAACAAATACTAGAGTGTCCAGAAGGTCAAATGGAAAAAAAATGTAAAAAATGTGTCAGGAAGTGCTGTGTGGCAGGAAGGAGTTGGACCCAAAATGCAGGCTCTCGGACTCAAGGGGTGAACTCAAAATCACAGCTTTATTGGCTGGCAAGGAAGACGCATTAAAAAAAAAAAAAAAACTACACTGGGAAATCTAAGTTCAAGGAAACACAGGGACAGAGTAACACACCGCAATGAAGGAAGACGTGACACTGACACAGAGACACACAGGGCTTAAATACACTGGGGGAATAACGAGGGAATGAGACACAGAAGAAGAGCAGAGCTGGGGGAAATCAGAACTGACGAGACAAGGAAACAAAGTAGGATACACTCACATGAGACACAGACCTTCAAAGTAAAACAGGAAGTATAATACTGAGACACGAACTTGACACGGTGGAGACAGAACAACTAAGAAACAGAGACATAACCATAAAGCAGAGAACTCTAAGAACCAAAAGACTAGAGATGATAAATAATACGCAGAGTGAAATCCTGGAACACAAGAAACTAGACTCAAGGGAGCAACAAAAGACCAACCATGAGAACATAATTCACAATACAGAGTGACAAAAAACACAGGAAACTCAACACATACCAAGACACAGACCAAGAAACACGGACTTTACACAGAACAGAGGGGGCACAGAGCAACATGAGGGGCAAGGGATCAAAACTAGAAACCATAGAATAAATCACATGCGAACTCGACAAAATACTAAAAAAAAAAAAAAAAAAAAATCACAAAGAACTAAAAACGCTGGGTCAGGAGACCCAGGACCCTGACAAAATGTTATTATTTGAAATGGAGTCACTTGGGTCTCACAAATTAAAAATATACATATATTCTATTTTGACAGGACAACCTACTGATATTTTTGTTTTAGCAGTACAACGTAGTTCAAAAGAGCATTTTTTGAAGAAAATATCTTGTGTAGTATTTAATATTTGAAGTTAAAATTTCACAGTAGTCGTTATACGTGCCCAAACTTTGTACCATAACATTTTTATGAAAATCATGGATGGTTGAGCAGAAGTCCTGTGTTGATTTCAAACAGAATGACCCATGAGCTGGGTTTGGCTTTACTAACTGTTTGAAGTTATTTTTTAACAAGCAGCTAGTAGTTTGTGTAGTACAAGAAAAACTACCCATTAGCTTAAGAAATTCCTGAGCTGTCCTTAAAGTAACACCAAAGCTGGGTCCGCTCCCTAGACCTCAAAGAAAGGCTGCAGCTTGGCAGAAATCCCACAGAAGGAAACAGAGGCAGTCAGGACAAAGACAAACTATGAAAGAGAGAAAGCAAGAGAAGTGCAATTTGGTGTATAAACACATGGAGAGTGAAAATAAAATGAAGATAAAATGCTCAGTGTATCATGGTAAGCCACCAACAACCCAGTTGCAGCATACCTAAAGGATGGTTTAGGGTCATCTGATACAGCCCCAACGGGAAAGTATTGATGAGTAATGTTAAAAATAGAGATAGTGTCTGAATTTAAATAGTGTTATGAATTAAAGAAAAAAAGAATGCTTGGACACTGCTATCATAATGGACAGGTTTTTGACAGGGCCCCCACAACTATGTCTCCAAACCAACTTCCTTCCAAGCCAAAGACTAGAAAATACGATGAAGCATATCTTGCCTTTGGCCTCACCTGCACAAGTGCCAAGGTAGGTCTCCCCGGGAGAATTAGTTTCCCCTGCGTCGGGAGCAGGCGCTGGGCTCTCCAAATCACGGACAAACAGGATCCCACATTCTAGATTTTTAGTTCACAAACACTTCTTATAATGACTAACTATCCCTGACATTTTGACACTTTATACAGTAAAGTTACAGTGGAATACAAATAATGACAGGCTGATCCTGCCACAATTTGTTCCCCCTGTCCAAATCATGGACAAGATTTTCTTGTAAAACAAAGGGGGGGCCTAGCAAAAAAAAAAGTTTGGGAACCACTGACGTAACCGCAGTAATCAGGCTGAAGGAGTCCTGACAGTATCTTGCACAGATTTATTTCTGCTGCTGATGGATTTGCCTCTAAAAGTCAGACAGACTTTGTTTTCTTCTCTAAACAAACACTATGACAGTGTGCAATGTACAGACAAGTCTGTCATTCTTATACAAAAGCAGGCTCTGAGGACACAAATTAGTTGTTGTTGGTGATGTTCCTGTGTGTGTCAATCTGTCTGTTCTTAGTGTATTTTATAGTAAAAGTGTCAGATTATTGCACAAAAGTGTTTGGACTTGAATTCAAACAATGTCTCCTTGATTTCACACAAACTGCAGACTGAGAATACTCTGTCATGTCAAATATGTTTGTGATCAGTAATGATATACTATTAGATGTTATGATACCCCTAATCCAAGAAATAATCATTAGGAAAAAGTGAAACATGTTTAAAACTAGACAAACAGCATTAGATCTGGGTATTATTAACTGTTTTCCAGTAAGTAGAGTTACATTTCTGAAAATACTGTTTTGAATTCAATACGTGGAAACTCACAATTCAAAACAGAAGTGTTGTTTGTGTTAAACTGTTTACCCAGTGTCCTCTGCAGGTCTGAGACTGAAGTGCAGCTGGTTCTCAGAGGGATGACCTGCCAGGCTGTACTTCAGCGTCACACAGCCCTCTGCTGCCTCTGAGCTCTGACACAGAATTACAGTGTTAGAAGTCACGTTAATTACTGTCATCAAATACCTAAACAACAACATGAGAGGCTGCTGCTCCTACCTGTCCAGTGAGCTGGGCATAAATCAGTGACCTCTGACCCTGGAAAAGTGTTGTGATTGGTGGAGAGAGGACAGTGACAGACACTTCCTTTGGTAAATCCCATGTGACTGAGATGTCGACCACAGCTGGCTGCAGAGCAAATCGCAGCGACTGCATCACCTGAAAAATAATGAAAACTCTCCAAATATACACAAACAGCTGGAACAGACATTTTACTCACTGCAGGTCTGATCT